TTGATAGATTGATAGATAAATAGATAGGTAGACAGATTGATAGATGATACTTAGATTGATTGACAGATAGATAGAGAGATGATAGATAGATGAGGTAATATATAGTTAAAAGTGGATAGATTAGTTAGATAGATATTCAATGATATTATAAATGAAAGTATGTAGATAAATATAAAGATAATGATAGGTACATAGATAGATGGATGAATATAAAAATCAAAGAAAGTAGATGAATACACAGATAAAGATAGATAGATAGATAGATAGAGGAATATGTAAATGAAAAACAGATAAATAAATAGATGAACATACACAGGAGAAAGAGAAGAGAAAGAAAGAGGATGAGAAGAGAAAGAGAGGAAGAGGAAGAGGAAGAGGAAAAGAGGAGGAGACGACGGATATCTAAAGTACACATAGATGTAAACTTATCTTTTCCACGAACAGAGGAAACAGGGGAGGCAGACGGTGAAGAAATAAAGGCAAATGAACTTTTACAAGTGACTCACTCACCCAGGGGGGCCAGGGGAGGGGAGGGGGAGTAGGAGGAGGAGGGAAGTAGGGGGAGGAGGAGGAGGAAGGGTTGGGGGAAGATGAAGGAGGAAGGGGTGAGGGGGGAGGAGGAAGGGGTGGAGGGGGGGGGAGGAGACTTTTAGGGCCTAAAAAAGGGCTCAAAGTTGATGTCCCGTTGTGGGGCGGCTCTGTTGGTGATCAATGGTCTGACGTGTGATTTTTTTTCGTTTTTATATATATATATATGGTCTGTTCTCCCTTTTTTCTATGCTCTCTCTCTTTCCCGTATTTGTGCTCTCTATATATGAATTGAGTGTTTTGGTGCTTTATGTTTCTCTCTTATTTGTGTTCTCTTTCTATTTCTCTTATTTGTGTTCTCTCTCTATTTCTATTTTTGTGTTTTCTCTCTCTCTCTCTCTCTCTCTCTCTCTCTCTCTCTCTCTCTCTCTGTCTCTCTCTCTCTCTCTCTCTCTCTCTCTCTTTCTCTTTCGTCATCTTTGTCTGTTGTTGCCCCAATCTTTCTCTTTTTCTTTCTCTTCCCTTTCTTTTCTTTTCTGTTGTGTATTATTTTTCGGTCATTTTCTCGATCTCTTTATATTTCTTTGTTTATTTCTCTTTCTTTCTTATTTTCTGTCTTGCGTTTCTGAATAATGATTCCCTATTCTTTCTTTGTCTTTACCTTTCTAATTCTTTTTCCTTTCCTTTTTATTCGCTTTCTTATATTTTTTTCCCAGTCCTCTCGCTTTCTCAATCTGCGGACGTGCCTGCGTTCGCGTAAGCTCGGATTCACAGCAATACACTTTATAAAAACGCGGAATTCACATCTCATTTGCCTCATACGTGACAGTAACACGAGTTATAAATCGAGGGATGGAAAATGTAATAAAGAAGGAGATGGAAAAGGAAAATAAAAAGATAAAGAAGAAGAAGAAGAAGAAGGAGCGAGTGAAAAAAGACGCTTTCTCATTCTGCGCACGTGCCTGCGTTCGTGTAAGCTCGGATTCACAGAAATACACTGTAGAAAAACGTAGAATTATCATGTGATTTGTCTTATACGTGACAAAGGAAAACGGAAGAAGGAGATGAAGAAGAAGAAGAAGACACGAGAGAAAAGCAAGATTGTGAAGAGGAAGAACTAAAAGAATAAGAAAAAATAGAAAGTAAAATAGGAAGGCAGACGAAATAGGATACGGATATAGAAAAAAGAAGATTAAAGATGATGAGGCTAATGATAATGATAAACGTTGTAATGATGATGATAATGATAACAGTAATAATGATAACAAGAAGTAGAACAATAATAATAATAACAAGAAGTAGAACAGTAATAATGATAACAATAAGGATGATAAGTATAATGATGATAATAATGATAATAATGATAACAAAAATAACAACAGCAAAAAAGAAAAGAGGAATAAATATAGGAGAAGGCAACAAAACAAGAGAAAGGAAAGGTTACGTAGAAACAGGATATTAACCTTACGCAGGTACTTTCCCGCCATAGTGACGTCATCGGGTCTTTTCTCTTCTCTCCTCCTCGCTTTGTACCGGAGGAGGAGGAGGAGGAGGAGGTGAAGGAGGAGGAGGAGAAGGAAGAGGAGGAGGAGGAGGAGGTGGAGGAGGAGGAGGAGGAGGGGGAGGAGGAGGTGGTGGTGGAGGAGGAGGAGGAGGAGGAGGTGGAGGAGGAGGAGGAGGTGGAGGAGGAGGAGGAGGTGGAGGAGGAGGAGGAGGAGGGGGAGGAGGAGGAGGAGGAGGAGAGGAAGAGGAAGAGGAGGAGGAGGAGGAGGAGGAGGAGGAGGAGGAGGAGGAGGAGGAGGAGGGAGGACGAGGAGGAGGGGGGAGGGAGGAGGAGGAGGAGGAGGAGGGGGTAGGGAGGGGAGGAGGAGGAGGGGGAGGAGGAGGAGGTGGAGGAGGAGGAAGAGGAGGAGGAGGGGGAGGTGGAAGAGGAGGGGAGGGGAGGGAAGAGGAGGAGGAGAAGTGGAGGAGG